ATGCAATTCATAGTTTCTGAATTAGAAGTCCATTGAGAAACATGAAGATTGAGGGGTGGAAAAAAACTCCTCGGGAAAAGTTAAAAATGATTGGATTAATTTTACAGGAGAAAAAACCCCTCTTTAAAAATAATAACAGAAAAAAAGCGAGCAGGACTGGCCTGTAGGTGGCGGTGTATAACGGAATGTTTTCGGTCATCGTCAGGGTATCAATAAATGTCCGCCTTGATGGGTACGAATGTGGGTCAGACAGGGCTGGCTTGCAAATGGCATTGTATACGGGATTCACAATTGAGATCGTCTGGGCCGGATTGGTACGCCGCGTCAAAGAGGCCAGACGAGAGGAACCGAGATGCGATCGGCCACAGCACGCTTCGAGCTCAGCCGAGCAGTGCGGAAGGGAGGTACGACCGAACTACTAGTAGACAGTGAATACGGAGGGTTCCGCCGTGAGCGTCGACAGACGGCATGAGGTCGGAATGCGGGAGATGACATCAAAAACCGCGATGTCTTCCTTTAGTTAACGGAAGGCAAAATCTTTCTAATGTCAAACAATACCTCTTTGGCTCGGCCAAACTGGTCTAGCTCCCACCCAGATATAGTCAGTCCTGACAGAAGACCCTGTTCAGCTCGGATAATTTGTGGGTTAATAGACGTCTCTCTTAACATTTTATGAGTCATCAGCGGACCGCATCTAGTGGTAAAAACGTGTAAGAATCACACTAGCGAGTGGGATCAAACAAAAATTAATACAAGAAAGATTATGTAGCATTACCCTATGCGCTGATGACACTGATGGTAGTTAAAGACACATACGTCTGTCTCGTAAATTTCTGTCGCTGTATGTTGCAGGTGCGATGGGACTTGCTAATCACTGGGTCTCGTGGCGTTCCCAATGCGTCTTCTGATACATGTTTTTGATATCAGTTTTCAGTGTTTTGCTTGCCACAAAAATTTTCTTACTAACATGGTACGAACGCTTCGGAGAAAAGCCTTTTCAGAATCGGCCCGGAAGTTGACTTGTATATTTAAGCTGAATTTCGTGGGCCTGTAAATGTTTAGCTTGAGGGATTTTTTCGAAATCAGTCATTAATTTCTGCGACAATACACAAGCCGAAAACAAAAAATGTAAACAGTTTGAGTAGTAGCATTGACTTTTCTTTTGCAACATGTATTTCCGAATCAAAACCTGGCACAAATGAATTTGAATCTCGGTCACAGAGGAACTTGGTTTCCTCGAAATTTCAGCCTACCGGATACTTTTGTGACCTTTCATTCTTAACAAAATATCTAGAATCACCGGACGTGCGACAGAAATTGAGCAGAAAGAGCCGCTCTCCCTCTGATTTATTCTCTACCAAAAGCTCTACGATAGTCCTCAAATCAACAAGCAGCTTGGGTGTCCTGCAATTTATTTTTTATCGCCGACCTGTTTATGCATTTCTTTTTATACCTTTGAAGATGTTCCACCTTTTCAGCTAACAATATGATTCGAATATGAGCCGTGAGATATTGCGCAAAACGCCCGATTCCATTCAGAACTGGACTTCGACACCCGAGTGACACGACCAGCAATGTTGCCTGCAACCATCTCTGATGATGGGTTCGAATGAGAATCCGAAACGTCGGTCCAATAAAAATCTTGCTCCAGTGATCGCGCCTTCTCCTTCTGAGTGGTATCAGTACACTGCCGATTGTTAACGGCCTGGATGAGAAAATCATGTAATAAGCATTAGACTTTGTTAAAATGAGTGCAATTCTGGGTATCCTGCTAAGAAATCACTTCCTGCCAAACAGGAAAATTTCGAATAACTTCGATGGATGTCGAATATGAAGACAAAGTCTGTGCGATGTTTTCAAACTCTTTTGAAATATCCGGAGGCGGAGGAAAAGGTAAAGGACCTAAAAACAAAAATGGGAGAGTTGTAGCGGGCAGCCATAATGGCCGGTCTGGCGTCATTTTTCACGACCTCGCTGCCTCAAGTTCATCCACCCTTTCGCAGTTAGCCGTCTCAGACATGTTGGGCTGAAGTCAAACCACCGACAGCTCAGGCATACCTGCGTCCACACAGACCCAGCAGCCCACAAGGCCTATTGAACGAACCGCCTCTCCTGCAACCACAACCTAGGCCACTGGGATACCAACCCTCGGCAATTGCAACTCACACTCACTGGACACCACCTGAGCTTGGCCCACGACCCTACAAGAGCGGCTGCCACCACTGTCCCAATGACTCTTAGGCTTGACTGGACGCAGTAAACACCAGCCCTGGATTCGCCAGTGGCCACTGCCGTCTGAGAAGACGACTCCGGGTTTTGTATACATTGAACCCCTCATTCTGGTCCCTTCCGTCTTCTCCTTACAACATAGGGTTTGAAGTGGTAATTGTAGCATAGACTACACATTCCTATTGTCATGTACAGTGTATCGTGCAAACTATGTATACTCTAGTGACTGCCTGGTAACACTATTAATATTACGCGATTATCCCGCTGTGACTGATAGACTTCACCTAGACATACGAACCACATATCGGCCGGACTCTATAAGTCTCAAACATACTGATTTCTTTCAGATTAGTCATTGATTTCTAAAGAAAATCAAAAGACCGCAATGCCGAAACTGGAGTATCTGCTGTTGAGGCAAATCCCCTGCAGCTTTTCAGTGTAGCCATAGGGTGCTGACAGAAAACGTATCTGGGCCTTTATCTGGAATCGGTGCTGTTAGACATGGTGTGTCATGTAACCTACATGCGGTGCTCTCTGCCAGTCGCGTTCATCGTATGCATTCTTGTTTACTTTGAACATTCCAGTGATTCCTCAATCAATGGCTGAAGGACTAGTGGACGTGTCTTGTAGCTGCCCTTTCGACTTCTGGTGCCTATTACATGGAAAGCGAGAAGTGACGGCGTTGGATAACCTCCACATTGTGAAAATTTAGAGTGCGTTTTGTAACACACGAAACAACTTTTTAGAAATGTTGCACCAATACTGAAAGGAAATCTGGCCTATATGGCGTTGTGACAAAACTATGGATTAGGTAGACTTTTACGAACTTGAAATTCAAGTGCTTTCTTACTGAGCTGAAAGTTTTTGAACTTTTTTAGGACGTACTCCCGATCATACGACAGCCTTTCACTGGGCTGCCGGAAGCACGGTTAGGCTGTTCCACAGACTACTGAAGGCCTCCTTACGCGCCAGGAATATCTGGTGAGCTGGATGGATAATCTTTCTTTGGCACCCACTAGATCTTAAGGTGGAACTTGCCTATTCCTCCACGGAACTGGTGCTCGGCGCCATCGTCTAACATCCCGGTGAGGCCATTTCGTCAACCCACCGCAGTCAAGTCAAGGACCCGGTTAAATTCCTAGGCCATCTCAGGAATTTATGGATACAATCTCTCTGACTCCGCCAATGCGACTGGTATCCAAGCCTTATATGGCAATAGACTTGGCGATATTCTCTCATGTCTGTGTCGGATTTGGTTGAGTTCGCCGGTCATAAAAATTAATCTCTCAAAAACAATGATATTTCGCATCCAGTACGGTACACATGAAGGGATATTGGGCGTGGACGGCCTCCAAGCTGCTGTTCCAGGTATTACTTCGGGCGAGCTCTGACGTCTCATCCCCTTTATCTTCTGCTAATGCACTTTCTCTACTATCTGTCCATCCTTTTCCTCTGCTTTCCGCTCCGTTGCTACCAGGTACAAATACTCCACCAGTAATTAAACCCCTCCTTCTGCTGTACATATCACGAGCAGTGAACTTCATGTTCACTTTCCTGACGAACAGATCACGCATGTTTTGTAGACAAGAACAGTTTCTTCGGGGTTGCTCCAGGCCGCCCTCGGTATGCAGAACTCATTTTCTGTTTAGCGGATGTCTCTGCGGAATTCATTGTGCTGAAGCTTCTATACGACATATCCGTCACTATCTGCAAATTACCGAAAGTTACTTCTGCTATCAGATTATTTAAGCATTTATTGCCGCAGCATTTTGCTAAAATTGGAGTTTGCTCAAACAAATAATTGCAAATATGTGCATTCAACGTTCGGTTTGAGTGCAGGGCCTTAACAAAATCTCGTTATTATAGACTTTCAAATGCTACGGTTTAATTGACACCCCCGTTTGTCCCTGTGAACTTGGTGTCTCTGATATTACATCGGTATTGGAGGCTTTTTTGTACAAATTTTCTTGATGATGGAACCTCCGCAAGTATATTGCATCCGAATCTTGCTCCATGTGTAAAAAGGTTTTTTTTAACAAAAAGTCCGTCAAGTCGATGTTTTAATTACAGTGACAAAGCAGATATCAGAGACATTTGAAGTAAAAATCCAAAATGCAAACACTCCTGTGTCCGTACGGACAGTCATAAGGAGCCGTTATTTTTTCGACCTTACAGCCAGATTAGGTTTGATAAACCATGTGTGCACATTCGACTTCCAACCTTCGTTGCTGTGTTTATGCACTCTGCTGTAGATGCAGTATTGTGCAGCGCCTTTCTTAAAGCCAAAGACGTGTAAAATAGTTATTTTGGCTGTCGTAACTTACGAGCCAATAGGCATGCAGTATGCCGATTAGTCATTTTTACATTCGTCCATCGAAAGATTTACGTAACTTCTTAGTTCAGCCTACACTCAGCTAGGATGTTTCTTCGGGCCGCGTTCTCATTGTTGGGCTTGTTTTTGCTCTCATGCTTTGGCGACACGGATCTGTCAACCAGAGCTCGTTTAGCCGTTACGAAAGAAATCCTTAATACTTATCTCGTTGAATCCAAAGAGGTTACCATCCTGTACACAATTTATAACTTCAGCCCCAGGTGTGTTTCCATTACTCTTCACTATCCTAAATGTTCACTCTTCTAGACCATAGACCGGTTTGTGTAGTTTACGCACTCTAAAATTATTTGTCGCTTCCCAAATTTTGTGCCTTTTCCTTTTTCCTAAAGGCATTTCTAGAGCCACCTGTGCATTAATGCACAGCCGCTCCTCTGGTGATGCTTTAATTCTTGGCCCCCATATCTCTGCCGGTGCCTTATAGACGGAAAAATAGCTGATCGAATGCCCATGAGTATTCAGTAAATGTCCTCGCTCTCTTGTTTTGTAGTCTGTGCGTTATAAAAAGATCTTACTAGACTGACTTCTTAGAAAGTCCACAAATATGGACCTCGAAGAAGTCCCTTAAAAAGTGCAAGATAGTGCGTGAACTGGATGTTGCCGATACCCCCTTTTTGCTGTACGCACACAGCACTTGCGGCGAATGCTGATGTCTTGTGAGCAACAGCTCACTTTCACTCGTCGCAGCTATGCTCGTGCTTAGCATGGGTGGCCTAGGCCACTATGTTGTCGGCGATATTTCTCCGCACAGAAAAATTTACAGCAACAGACCTGTATAGCCCGACCCGCTCTCTCTTTTTGAATGACGACGACCCATTTCCGAAGGCCAATGAAATACCACCATGCATTGGCGAGAATTGCTGAGCAGTCTTGAGTTGACTGCTTGGTCGCCCCTAGATGGTAACGACGTTCAATTAGAGGCAGCGGCGCCGGACTCGCGAAGTGGGCGATGCAAACGTCCTTAAATGGTCTTATCCGTCCTTCTTGGGCGACGTGAATTTTCGCCTGTTAATATCGCTGCGAGTTTGGACCTTGCTCCTATGCACTGCCATTCTGTACAAATTCATACTGCTGTGCGCGTTCATTCGTTACCTATGTTATGCAGAGACGGGTTGCAGTTGAAAAGCCGTCACGAAATTTGTTGGCCCCAATAAATTCTGCTTTACATGCTTGTTTTCAATTCATACCGGGGAAAAAATGCTTCAAGTTTGGACTGTCTAAATCGAGACCAAGTTGATGTACTTCATTCAAAGAATGGATTCCAAATAGCGGTGTTAAACCCCCGACTCCTCCCTCGTATTCTGCACACACAGCCTAACACTCAACCGCGCAGGAGGAGGAGCAGATGTCTGATACACGCGGAAATGTCGGGATGGGTTTATGTCACCCGAAAACTGCGAGCACCATCAACTCGATCAACGGTGTCAACTTTACTTTGCTCATTTGGCGACGATTCTTCACGGGATATTTGAAACTGCCCACCTCATCTAGCTTGCGATCTTTAATCCTGAGGAGTATGTTCTCGTGATTACAAGCGCAGCCCGAGATTGCTTTGTCCTCACACGGTTGGTAGACGTGCCGATCTGGTAACTTCATCTACGGAAAACCCCGCATTCAGTAGGTCATCGAATTTCAGCTCCAGCAGCGCGACGTCAGCTGTCGTCTGGACGCAAATGCGACATCAAGACCGCGTAGTCCAGTAAGTGACGTATTTAAACAGGATGATAGAAGGCGACCATGTCGCACACTAGACCCGACATTCAGCGTTTGGGAGAGGTTATGGACAAGGACTCCAGTGATGATGACGGTGGTTGTTGCGGCATTAGAAAATTAGTAGATCGTGATCACAACAGTGGTTCTTGCCAGCCTCATTATCCTCCGCGGGGACTCATGATAGACGGATTCGGACGGTTCAACGAAGTCAACAAAGCCGCCGATCGCCGTTTGTTGATAGCCGTTATGCAGTTTGAGAACGCGCCATTGTATCTGGCTGTTGTATCCCCGCCCAACACAGAATCTGGTCTGACTGGGTCTCGCCCCGGAGCCACCCATACATTGAAGTCGACTGAGAATCACAATGGTTAGGGTCTCTGCCTCAGTGTCAAGGAAGCTTGTGCCGCGATGGTTCCCTACTGCTCTCCGGTTCTCAAGAAGAAGAAGATTCTTTCTGCTTGCCGCCAGTCGATATTGCGTGCGTCGGTCGGTTTTCCGTACGATTTGCGGTACCCCGATGTTTATGTCTTCCAGGCGCTAGCTGCGTTTTGAATCAGGCCCTGCTCCTGTTCATCACAATCAAATTTACAGCTAAAATAATTACATAGCCATCAGTCATTCTGTCCCATTTATACATGCTTGCTTCTCTTAGAGGCCTTTGTATATTCATAATTGTGCACCTTGATTGCCATATTTAACCCAGAGGCAAGTTATTTCATGGGGCATAAAAAATTGCATTTGTATTTTCCAGTCGCGCTGCGCGGGACGTTGAAATTCATGACCGATTTCCGGATACTGATTTTACCTTCCTGCATGGCAGCCGATCGACGCGATGGACGTCAATCGCTCCCGGCACTAATATCACTCATGCTGTGATTGTTGTCCCACGCTTTGTCGGTGCTTACAATTTTACTAGCGCAGAAGTACTCTACAAAGCTGGAGCGGATACGAAAGTCACCGTAATTCCCCCCTCTGTTGGCTCTATCCTATATTTTGACTTCGCCTTCTTTTATTTTATTCGCTTCTTATAGTACTTCATGTCAACTGTCTAAAGTCAGTGGTCTTTAAGTAGGGTTTTGTAGCACGAGATTTCTTCCCTAGTGGTCACCAGTGCATAATATTCTTTGATATTCGGTGTAATGTCGCCATATTTGGTTTGGTAGTTCACTTACTGCGCATTCTCCCTATCCCACGTCCTGTTCAAATTACAGCCCATTCGTAGATCTGTGCGTTTCGCAGTTAACCCTGGGAGGCTCATGCACCCCCTATTCCGGACTGACACAAGTATCCGTTTATTGTACACTTATTCACCAATAAGTGTAGCGTCATGTAGCAATTCGTTAAGCTCTCGTATACGACTCAACACCCTTGTTTTCTAGTCAGATTTTGAGGCTGGGTGTGCGTGTGTTCTACCCCAAGGCGGACCATGCAGTAGATGCGCTGTACCAACGCAGGGCTAGATCAGGATCTGGCGGGCATTATTGGGAATTCGTATCCATGACAAATGTCAAAATTACAGTGTTTGGACACGCCCAGGCGCAGGCCCGTGTCGCACCAGTTGGGATTTGAGCTGCCCCCTTTTTTCTAGTCAAAATCCGCTGCGGACCAGGGGCTGTGGTGATACGTCTAGGCGCAGGTTTTCGTCGTGCAAGTTACCTGCGCCCTCTCCGACCTCCGGTCCTCGTGACTGTCGACACCGAATCCAGGTGACGGAGAAGGTAATGTGGTAGATGCATCGAAAGTCTACTATTACTATAAACCAATGCGCAAAACACTGTCTCTGCTTTCGCCCTGCTGTGGAGCATATGGTGGACATCGTCGGCCACGACGATCAAACCGTCGTGTTTTTGAGGGAGAGAGGAAGAGAGCGAACACATTGGACACCGAAGTTATTTAACTGTTCTCCGGAGACTTCGCATTCGTAAGAAATTAAAGGCACTTTTTGTGTCTCACTTCGTGTTTCATCATTAAGTCGGGCAAAATCATACCCGGTGTTGTCCAAAGCAACTGTCCAAAATGCTGCCGATCGCATATTGGCACGGCAAGTAGGACTGTTTTCCATTTTATTTTGCTGCACTCTTATCCGATCGTGTGATACTTACAATCATCTCTTATTACCTTGGTGTCCTGAGACGTTTATCCTTTTCTAGTACGGATATTCGTCGGCTCCGGGCGTACGCTACGTCGTTACTCCCTCACACTTCAATCGCCAGTTTGCTTCCCACTGGGTAAGCACAGCATTCCGCTCCACGTTTTTTTTCGTTTTGGCTTTAGGACTTGTATGCACTGTAAAATCCCGTCTCCTGACTACTGTTAACCCCATTTGGTTCGTTTCTTCCTTTTTAGTTGGAATGGATCTGCTTTGCCTTCATAACTGCCCCCTGCATTGCGATTCCCTACATGCTATGGCGCTCTGGCGCATCGAAGTACATGTAGCTTGATCACCATTGCTGTGGAAACGAAGGCGGATCATGTATAGCTTGCACTTGTTACTTTTACATCTTTTCCGTGTTTGGCCCTTGCCCCAGTTCTCTTTAGAATTATTTCCATTGGTTTGGTTCTTTTTACTTCTATAAATTTCCGATTCTGTGCTGTATTTACCGGGGTCTCGAAGATAGTAGTAACGTCTAATTTTATCACCCGATTCCTGAGCTATGGGGCGCTCGGCTATCGCCAGTGAATGCCATCGATGGGCATCCGTATAAAATTCGGTCGAAATCCGTCGGTTTTCTGATTTGCAGATCTCGCGACCGGAAGCCTTACAGTAAGCGGTTTTTTTACACTCGTGACCCGATAGTGTCCTGTTAAGCTGTGGGTTCTCTTTTTGCACACTCGTTTCGTAGGTTAAGCTGTCGCGCCAGTACCCCATTTCTAGTGACGATTCAACGGGATAGATGAAACAAATTTGTTGGTACATACTTGGAAGGTAAAGCAAGTTCATATAACTCGTCTGTCAATTTGTCTTCTGAAGGGCAGCTCTTTCGTGGTGTAAACTTCTTAGTTGTTTACCATTTCGGCTATGAGGGCGTCCACGTTAGGAGCTCCACTGTTACAATTATCTGGTGGGCTACTGACTTGAGATGTCGCATTCTGTTGTTGAAAATCTAAAGTTTAGTCTGCCAAACTGTGTTTATAGTGTGTCGAAGTGAACACTATGTTGTCGTTTGCACTTTTGACAAAATAACACATTGTCTGCAGCCGTTGAGACTAAAACGGCCAATTGACGATCATTTTTGCTGGTCACTTGTGTCGGAGTAATCCAACTAAATCGCAAATCTCCGCTTTCTGAGGGTGTCCGAAACCGGGACTTAACAGAGCTCATCAGCTAAACCTCAATTTATGATCACGCCTCAGCATTGTTAGGCGTCGGCTCCAGCTGGAATGCTGCTGACCCAACGTTTAAAAAAAGTCGGAGAAGTTCTGGGCTGGACTGACTTAACAGCACATGAGGGCGGGAACCACCTGCAATACGGGTGGCTTTGAGCCAATTCTGTATGAAATAAGGGTTGGGTTGAAGGCTAGGTTCAAATTTAACGGTAAGGTAGATCGGGACCAAGACTGGGGGCCAGTGCCTACTGCAGAGTTGAGGTTCGGCTCGGAGTTAGAGTCAAGATTGGGGCAACAGTTTAGTCCTGCATCTGGATTATTGTTGGGTTTAGGATACGGGAATGTTTTGCTCCTGCCGGAATTATGCATGGGTGCACCTTTATAAATCGGTCGGGGTGTGGCCGTTCCCATGTTCTGTTAAGGGAAGCGACAAAATTTAGTACCACCAAGTTCTGTAGAATTAATTTAGCAGCATCCACGCATTATGCAGTCCAGTCGGTCTTCGCACATTTGCCTACCTCTGAGCAAAAGTCCGGTGGTAGTCGCATACCTTGTCCGACACTTCGAATGTAGTTCCGGGCGAGTTTTTTGGCCCCTTGTTCTGGACAGATTTCGTCACCAGCCTACCGCGTCTCCCGAAGAGGTGCTTTGAAGGTATAGACGGGATGCTGGCTTCCCTACCGGGGACAACATACTGCAGTGAAATCACATTGCACAGACCTGGTCGGGAGAAGCCGCCAGCTACCCCAGATTGGCGGTACTCTCTTGTCAGTGCAGTTGCCTTCGTGAATCCATGCGCATTTTTTAAAGACTGAAACGGCTCTCCAGGACCGCCTCCGCGCAGGCAGGTGCCCAGGGTCATTTCTGGGCTTTGAGTGTGAAAGATGAGCAAAAGACTGGTGGTATTTCACTGCCGTTGCCTGAGGACTCTCTCTCTTGAGTGAAGTACTCCGACTTCGTCTCAATTGAGGCAGTCCTCACTCGCTGCGACACTATTGAGGAGATCTCAGGCCATCCAAGGAATACGACTGAGGTGGCCTGGGCACCTTATCCATCGTCCGCCTCGCAAGTTGAGTTGTGTTGACGCCTTTGGTCAACTGGAGGCGTCGAAGAGGTCGACTCAAGACCTGCTTCAATATGGGATTCTTGGGTCTTCGGAATTTAGCCTGTCACTGGAGAAGAGAATGGATCGAGCCGTCCAGATTCGCTGCCGCAAGTCGTCACGCGTGAGAGCTAGGTGCGTGACGTCACTGTGGCCGGCAAGATCACAGCGGCGCCAAGTACAAGTAGCCGAGGTCACATTTTATCACGGTACCACCTTCTGACTAACGGTATGCGGATTGATGCAGACAGGCCTTAAAAGGAGTTAAGGGTCACTCAATACAGAGTGCATTTTTCCCGCCCACCTTGAGACAACGTAAAAACTTACAGGTTACCAGATAAGGCAGAAATGCGTACGCTCAGTGGCGTGAGAAGGCGGAAAGTGACGCCCAGGTACGAGCAAGCGAGCCGTCCTATCGATTAAAATCGATAGCATAGCGTACGCTCACTCGAGTGCGCTCCATGGGAACCTTGCTTCTACGACCGCAGCCGACTAATCAGGGGCTAGCTTTGATTGGGGCGCGAACATCAAAACTGGGTCCGCGTGTCCTTGCTACGAGGGTATGAGTGGGTTGGACCGGACGTACATGGACGTGTGGTTTCCGAATAAGTAGATGTCTTAAAAACTTATTTTGTCGTATGATGCAATTATCCGTCCACGTCTACGGGGTCTGCTTCAAAAGCCCGGCCGAGCCGTTGTTCAACCTGCGTTTGGCTCACAATGCCCAGTCAGCGATAAATGAGAATTGAGTCGAGAGGTACGTCGACCACAATTTAAGGTCAGAGCAGCCGACGAAATAGGGGTAGGGGGAAAGGCTACTGGACTCCCTCCTGCGACACAAGACTGACTCTGCGATTTTATCATTTTACATGGTCGCCAATAAGAAGTGACCGCAACAGATTTAATGGAAGTGCAGGCTTGAAACAAGTTATACGAGGACGAGTTGTTTCTGCCTACCGCAGTGTAGTTTTTCTGTCCTTAGGCAGTAACTTGCCGAACACTGCAACAAACTCGATAAACGACTAAGAGGATGACCACTATACGCGACTTCTGCCAGTAGGACTAGCAGGTTTTACAACTTTCATGTTAACCGCTGACCTCAGATTTCGGAAAATCTCATCCCTAGCTTTTTGGACTTTCTGCCTACCACTCCCAGCGCTCTATATTTTCACTAACGATGACGAGAATTCGAGTCCCAGGTGCACGCATGTGTAAAGAAGACTGGTTGAGCACCGTAGCAATCTGTTTATTGCAGCAAGCCGGAGGAAAGAGCACGTGGGGCTCATTATCGCCATGAACAGTTAATGCAGAATGGTTATCTGAAGGCATTGATCAGAAGTTATGCGCGCGGGACAAAACGCAGAACGTAGGGCAGGCGGAATGCAAAAACGCAGAAAATAATTAAATTTCCGTTGAAAGCCCTCTTCTACGTTGTTTTGTGGCGACGGAAATGGGCGCGGTAATGTAAAAGTGAACAAAAACCAATTCGCAAGAACACGGAGTTCGAATAAGCCCCGCCGGTAAGTTTGCGTTAGGTCAGAAATTCAGGAAGAGGTAACGGTAGGATTTAGGACCCCACGTACCTGTCGCATACGAAACGGTCCAGGGGCAACAAGTTTGTTGGGGTCTCACACCTTACCATTACCAAACGGTCCTTGTAATTAACTGACCAAACTTGACGCATTCTCGGATCGCACATGCACGAACATAAGCTGACTGTGTGGCAAGGAGACGGATTATCACGGGTGGCTGACCACACCTACGAAAATGGTCACGAGTTAAGCTTCGCAGCCACCTAGGAAATCGCCCACGTCAGAAACAAAAGAGGTAGATAATTAATTAAATCCTTGGCCTCGGATGAGAACTCGGTCGGTCGATTTATCGATCCGACGCCAAGGCACAAGGCCCTGTGCAAAAACCTTCAACTTCGCGCCATCTATCGATAATTTGCAAGCACGTCGTATACTTGTCGTTCGTCCTGTTGTCTCTGCTACCTCTGACGATTTACCCCTGCAGGAGTTCGAAACCTCCGAAAAATAAACAAAATGTTCCCGTGCTCAGCCAGTGCTCCTCTTTACTTCACATTCTGCCTGGTGCTGGTATCGCAGGCACGGTCCCGAATGGAAAGAGGAGACGGACGCCAGTGGGGAGGATAATATATTCTGTACAGTATAATGGGAGGGAGCTGACAGCCGGACGAGGGCACGTACGGCGCTGGGTGAGCGGCGTCCCCAGTTTCCTTCAGAGAATGCGTCAATGTCTTAAGACAGACCACTTCCGACTTGTCCTTGAATCTGATTGATCGGCTAGAAAGCCGAGCGGGCGAATGCCAAATAGCCTTGTTGCGCACGCAAGGGAGGCCCGGCGCTCGTAGCTGGGCCACTACACTGATGTACGACTTAAAATCCCCGATGAACTTGGCCGTGTATCAGAGACCAGTACCGAGTCTGTATGATATGCGCCAATGCCAGGGGTTTCGATTTAGAGCCAAAAAACAAACTATTTTCGATACTTCTGCTCAACAGACTTTATAGGAAAGCGCCTTATGACAAGGATATTCGCATCCGGTCTTTCCATTTAAAAGTCACTCGTTTTGAAGAAAACTTTTCAAACACGACCTGTCCTGTGTCGGCATAACATATCTGGTTTTTTTATTAGCTAGCAGGGCATCTGCAGTCAGCTTGTCGACCGAAGGAAGTACTCAGAACAGGCTGTATTTGTGATTATTGATGTATTTATTGATTCGAGAGGGATTGTCGACGGAATTCAGACGGCCAGAGCCGTTTCTGACTGATTTACCGTCGCCGACCAGCCGTACCAGATCCCAGACCGAAGCAGCTAGGGGAAACTTGGCCTTGAGTATTTTAGGTAATATTTTCCCATGTCTTGAACTGTCTTGATATTGACAGTCAGTTTTCCAAGTGCATTATGATTGTTCACAGTGGAGAAACTGGTTACTAAGCCAACAGCATAATCGAAGCCTGTGTGTGTGTGTGTGTGTGTGTGT